AGGGAAGAAAATACATGTGGTAGAAATAACATACCTCCTCCAAATGGGGATACAATTAGAATTCTTATAGCTTGAAATAAACCTGTTTTATTATTTTTCATTAGATTTTAACCCTGTAATTTTATTTAAATTTTGTTGTTTTTTTATTAAAATTTTAATGAAAGAAAAGATAATTTTAATCGCAGCAGTAAATTTTGTAGATGAAATTACAAGCATCAAATATAATAACAACTTATTGGAAATAATAGCCAATGAGAAAAAACATAAAGTACAAGTTGATAGACCTAATAAATCTTTCATCATTCATAATAAAAATATTGATAAATACGAAATAATCAATAAAGTTGGTTATTTTAAACATAAAAATACAAAACAGTAAATTAGTTAACTTAAAACTTATTTATGAAGTTATAAAAAATTTTCATTATATTAACTCAATTTTTTTAATTTAAATTGAATAATATTTTTTTTAATATTATTTCATCAATAGTATATTTTAATACTAATTTTATAAAAAACTATTTTTTTACAATCTTATTAAATTATTTAAAATAATATTAGACTTTTTTATACAAATAAAGTCATTTAATAAACAATTTATTCTAATAATAATCTAATAAATGTAATATTATTTACTTCATAGTTAATTAAATTACAAAACAATCCAACATTCAAAATTAAAGCTTCAATTTCTTTAAACTTAATTTTTTTATTTATCATGTATTGATTATGTTTAAATTGTATAACATTAAATGGTTTATCTTCAATAAAAATATTAATTTTTTTAAACACTTTCTTATTTTCAATTGGCAATTCATGTACTATAAAATCTAAAGAAGATAATATAATACTTGAAGTAGTAAAAATTTCTGAAGTTATAAGATCATTTTGTTTAACATTATCTTGTGAATAAAAAATATCTAAATAGGGTTTTATAACCAAACAATTATTCTTTTTTAAATACTCATACGTTAATTCAAACACATCATTCTTTTTTAAATCATTAAAATAATTTTTAATTGTAATAAAAAGGTGCTTAATATTACCATTTAAAATATTGATGTTCTCGTAAAACATTTTTTTAGTGTTTACATCAATAAAATAGTTTTCTTCACTAATAAAACACACATTTAATTTTTCAAATTTTTCAATAATAAAATTAAAAGGTTCTAAATTAAAATCATTAATATCTGTTGACATGAAATTTCTAATACTCTTAATAAATTTCTTAGATTCTTTTTCATTATAACTTAAAAAATTACATATAATACATATTCGAATTGTTTTTGATACTAACTTTAAAAGTGAACTTTCAAATTTTTCATGAGAAGGATTTTTAATACTTTTTTTTTCTTCATAACTATAAATTTCTTTAGATTCCTCATTCAATCTTTCAATCAAAACATAAAAGTCTTCATAATATCTAATAAAAATTTTTTTAAAATAATAAAAATCTTTTTCATCATTATTTATATTAATTTCACCATCCCCGGTTTCCTTGTTAATTTCAATTATCTTTGAAACCTTTTTCATATTAAAACCAACACACACTCTATTTTTTACCTTATTCCAATTGGGTATTTTCATAGTCACAGGTAGTTCAACTGTTTTAGTTTCTTCAAATTTAAACGAATTAAGTTTTTGTCCAATTACCAAATCAGTTATAATTTTTTCATGAAAGTTCAAATCTTTATAAATTCTTTCAACCTTATTTTTTGCTTCAGTAAAATCATTTATTTTTAGATTTTTAACTTCTGATAAAAGTTTCTCATGATTAACACCTTTCTCCTCTACATCTACCTCTGGATTGCTTGTAAGTATTTCTCTTAAAAAATTCCAATTCATAATTAAGGGTACTTAAATTTTTTTTTATATTTTATTAATGATGACTGATGAATTAGCAACAATATTTTTAAATGAAAAGTTCTATTATAGTGCTTATATATTAACTTTAAGTAGAGAATCTGTTATATCTCAAGCAATTCACATAGTAAGTTCGTATAATTTGGGGTTTCTTAATAGTATTAAAGAGATATTTAACAAAGAAAATCTAGATAACGTCTTAGAATATAAAGAAGTTGCTATCATCTATATCAGATTAACTAATAAAGATATTAAAATAGTGCCTAGTAAAACAATAGAACCCATAAATAATACCTTGATAGGTTTTGATAGTATTAAATATTATTGGATGGCTTATGAAAATAAAGAGATGATAAGAAAAAGACTCCTTGTAAAGTCATTAGAGTGTAGTAACAATAATCTTGAAGCCATACTTACAATGTTTTTTGAGTCAATGATAACCTACGTTGAATTTAATAAGTATATTTCTAATATCAGTGACAATGATCTTAATAATGTTTTAATTAATTTTGTGAATGAATTTGATAGATTTGATAATCCATTTAACTTACTGGTATTTGTTTATAAAATGTATGACAACATTAATCTTTTAAGTAGAATAGCTTTCCATAGACTGTATGCCTTTTCAGATACATATGTTTTAAAGTTTGTCAACGGCTTGTATTATTTAAAGACGGGAATAGTAGAAAGTTCTATTGAGGCGTTTGATGAGGTAATTAATTTGAATAGGTATTTTGGATTGGCTTATCTTTACAAAGGAATAGCTAAATCAATGTTGAGAGAAATGGAAGAATCAAAAGCTAATATTAAGATTGCCTATCAAATAATGGAGAATAATCCTATTGTTGCTTATTATTTAGCTTTTGAGTATTTCGTCGGTTGTGACTTTAATGGTTGTAAATTTTACCTTGATAGGATGATACGCAATATTAATAAAAGTGAAAAAAAGAAGCTTAATACAAATAAAGTTTCTCTTTTAAAGAAAATTACTTACGAAATAATTAATTTGACAATCAGTAAAGACTACAATGATAACTTGGATGCCATTTCTAAATATTTAATTAATTTTTATCTCTTTGTTCTTATAGCAAATGAAGAATATGGTTTAGCAAAAGATGTACTTGATGAATATACTGATTTAGATCCACTTCTTCAAGCATTTTACTATCTTTTTAACGGTGAGTATGATAAGAGTATGGATGTTATGGAACAAAATGATGATAGTCCCTATTTTATGTTGCTTAAAGGTTATTTAGCTCATTTAGTTGATAATTTTGATACAGCAGTATTTTATTATAAATCAACTAAGTTTTACTTTGAGGATGATAAAATAGTGAATGATTTGATATTGTTAGCAATGGAAACAAGAAATACGGGAATAAAAAATAAAGCGTGTGTATTTGCAAGTTGTTTGTTTGACTTACTGCCTTATAAGAAAAGAAAATTATTTCTTTTTATGTAAGAAAGTTTGTTTGTTTTAATAAACAAATTTATTAAAAGTTGTTTTTATTAGTAAAGTAGTTACTGAAGATGAATTTGTCTGTAAAATAAGTTCCATATTTCTTCCTTTTAACAATCCAGTAATCAAAAATATTATGTGTTTTTTTAATTAATTCATCATCTACAATAGATTTATCTAATTCTAATTCATCTAAAACTTCTCTTATAAATACTTTCAAATTTTCATCATTTAATTCAACAATTTCTATATCAGAAATTTCATTAATTTTTAATTGATTAATAAAATTATCAAAATAACAAATTTCTTCTTCTTTGTTATCTTCAGTTACTTTTTCTTTTATTTCATCATTATTTTTTAAAAATTGATCAAATAATTTTTTACTTTTAATTTTTAATAAAATTTTAGGTTCTGATTTGATAATTTTAAAATAATCATTTTCAATATTTTCATAAAAATTAACTTTTTCTCTTAAAAATATTTCATGTTTTAACTGTTTATAATTATCATTTTTAGTTTCAAGTGTATTTCTACTTTCT